GATCTTAATTTCGAGCGACTCCAAGTATTTTTATACACCCTTGTAGAACGAGAGAACGTGCGAGACACGTCCTGTATGAATGGGGCGAGAAGAACCGATCGTCGTCGCTTCCTTCCTGCGATCTCGTGCTCGCTCGCACAGTTCTTTGCTCCAGCGACCTAGGTTCCTACCCTTTGCCTCTCAATGACAACTTTGCTCCACCCCCACACTCACGTGCACACACGTACACGTACACATGTCTACGTCGCGACGACCCGCCGTCTGCCGTCTCCCGTCTCCCGACGGCGATGACCCACTTTGGCGAGGATACCCATCCGCCATTCAAGACTGCTAGCTAGATAAGAAAGATGTAGGAAACGCGCCTTGCATCTTTAACCGAATTCGTTCGTACACCCCGTATATAAACGTGCGATACGCGTAGATAACCCGAATCGCTCTCTCCTCGCGATTCATAATTTTCCTCTTTCGTGATTCATAAATCATCGCGAGGCGGCAGTAATAAATCTTACAGAGCGGGGTCTTAAACGGATTGTTTCCTTCGTATATATTGCTGTAGGCGAAATCCCCGGGAATCTCGAATGCGAAACGACCGTTATCTTGGAAAATCGATCTTTGAGGCTACGATGGATGAGCGGATCGAGGAACGACGATGTTGTTTTCCAAAACAAACACTCTTAGGAGACAGTACATCGATGCTCCTGGACATTTTTCGACATATACAACCTGTCTCGATCCTAAAACGATAAATTCGCAGCGTCAATCGAAACTGCAGCAGCGGCTGCGGTTGTCGACAATCGACACTCTGGGAACAAATGAAACTAGTGAACTGCGAGTTACCTGCACGACGATCAATATTCCGTATGCGAGTACACACACACACACACACATACACGTACACACTTGTCGCGAAGCACGTGTACGCGGCAGTGTTTGTTTTCTACCATATCGCCGGAGCTTGCACGGTTGTTCGCATCATTGGAGGGATACTATCCTTTCATGCGAACTTTCCTCTAGACATTCTAAAGGGTGCAGAAACGTCCTGTTGGAGACGCTTTCTTTTTGCGTTTCTTCTTTCGTTTTTGAAAAGATACTCAGATAATAAATTAATCCTTCGAATTTAAATTTTTCATTACAAAGTATAATTTTTCAAGATCTCTTTTCATATATCAGGTACGTTTAAATGAAATACAAACTGAGATTTTTTATAGAACAACGATTTTAATTTACATTTCAGATAAACGTAATCGGAGCCAATATTTTTAGCTAGCTGCCATTTTGCGATCTTAAAAAATTACGACAATCTTACTATAAGTGGGTACGCTAATGTTAGGTATAACTGCGAAAGATGAAGTGACAAATGACATAACGGTATCATCGATCGTATCACATTTGAGATACTGCTATTTATATTTTTCTGAGAATGAAGGCTCGTACGCGCATCGTCTACGGAGTTGCCATTCAATTAGATTGCACCGAGGCCGAGCCGAGCTCTCGCACGAGGCGTCCGTCGTCGTCGGCGTGAACGGCGGATAGGTGCGCCACGACACGTGCGCAGGAGCAGAAATCCGCCGGAAATTCGATCGATTCGGTGCGAGAGCGCGAGAAAGTTGGACGACGGCGGGAAGACGAGCCGCGGATGCAATCGCGAGCGACGAATGATCGAATGGCGACGGGGGAGAAAGAGAGGGAGACAGACACGGGGAGAGAGAGAGAAAAGTCTTTTGACCCCGATTATATCTGCGGAAGAGTAGGCCCCGATACGAAACGAAACATGTTTCTTTACGCGATCGAAAATTGGCCTTGGCTGCCTTCGGTAGCAATGCACTCGCTAATCGCGAATGATTCTTAGACGCCTAGTGCATGTGCACTCGGACTTTTGAGATACGTAGATTGGGTAGAAACGAGCGTTAACTCTGTTCAGGGTCGACACTAGCGAGATCATTTTCACAGATTCAAGATGGTCACGAGATGAAATGTATATATAATTTCGCTTCTATTTTAATCTCAATCATATTTTTATGCATCCTAGAGAATTTCGAGATAAATTTAATTTATGTAGGAATTGAGTTTCTAACTTTGCATCTTAAGTAGATAAAATAGATGAAATAGTTTTAAAAATAGTAATCTATCTGAAATATTTAAATAAAAAAAGAAAGAGAGAGAGATATGAGATAAAAAATTGAGATTAAAAATTAGAGAAAAATTTCGACTCGGATACCAGAAGCTTGCTGAGAAAGCAATTTGTCGCTCCAACTGGCAACGGAAATTTAATGCAACGCAGTGCATACGGGGGTATAAAGTGATATATAGGAGACTCGCGCTACCCTCGAACCGCGCGCTGTATCAAGGTCAGAGTGTATTAATAAGCACGACAAAGCTCTCTTCGTGGCATTGCGATACTTGGAGACTAAACAATGATTTCTTATTGTCCTCCATGATCGATCAGTCTCGCGCGAAGCTATAAGACAGCTTAGAAAGTGTATCACTTATTCAGGAAACTCGCGCGCACCCACAAGGTCTGTCAGTACGAGGAAATGCGACTGCATTATTCCAAATTACATACAATTTCGCGATACACATGTTATCTACGTTTCAGGTGAAACGCTAAAGATCGACCGGAATTCGAAACACGTTAACCAGAATTGGTAAAATTCCATTATTTTTGGATCCATACCAGTGGTAAAAATCGGTATTTTTCGGAAAAAACTAGTAAAGAATTGGTCTTTTCTAAAAATATTAAATAAAAAATGTTTTTATCGATATTCGTCGATTGAGAATATTTTTTTAATTTAAGCTTGATATTTCAAATAAGCTTTATATATTTCTATAATTTAAGATTTATACTAAAATAAAATCAATAGATTAAAAGAAGCGACGTAAAAAATAATATCATTTCTATTACAAGACATATACATATATATTGAATGATAAACGCAAATTAAATCTATATATATATATTATAAAAATTTTAAAAATTCTGTTATTCTATATATATTTTTTTTCATTAAACTAAAAAAATTAATGTAAATTTAATGATATTTACATTTCCAAAGTTTTTGTTTTAAACATATATTTTATAATAATTTATTTAAATAAAAAAAGACTTTATTATTATATTTCGATTTTCTTAATAGTGATTAGTGTGATTTATTCCATAAAGTTATATGAATATATTTCAATGTTACGTATTAATCAGTTTTATAATTTTTGTCAGTTTTTTCATTGGATAAAGTCAAAAAACTGGAACGCTTACGGATTTCATATTATATTTTGTCTCATTCGTGAAACAGATAAGATCGTTTGACATTAAACTATTTCCTGTATGTGATTTTCGCAATCGAAAATGTATTTTTTAATTGATAACACGTTATAATCCTTAATCGCGTATTTGATTCTACCGTGAGACGCGATAGATCGTAATTAATCAAATTACGAGTACAGTGTAATCCGATTGAATGGTATATCGAAACGCATCGGCACAATCGATCGAATTATTGTTGTACTATGTAATCTAATTAATTTTCAACGATTGCAATGGTGGACAGAGAACAGCGCGAACGAGAAAATACGGAGGGTCAATCAGACGAGTTCATTGATTCGATTTAATTCACGGTTAAATTCGCAGACGTTATTTTTTTGTTTTCGCCTCGCAACAACTTATACGACATTGCATATTGTTGTATGCATTGTACATTTTTTAATTGGTTTGTTGTAAATTTGTATGAGGCTTTTTTGTTATGAATAAATCGAATACACGAATTCGCTCATTGTTAACTTATCTCCGACAGCAGTTACATATCGTAATTTCCGTAAAATAAACAATTACATCCACATTAGCAAATTACAGCAATCGTGCAATGAAAGGCCTATTCTATAATCCCAAGTTATTAGAGTGATAATACGATCGGAAATATCGAATTAACGTATCACAAACACGAGCACAAGATTGCTACAAGATTTTTCCGTTTCTTTTTTTATCTCGAATTTAAAACGACAAAGTCAATTTTCAGTTATTATCCATACCCGCTAATTTCCCCAATATACCGTGATATTGTCGATGATTCTTACAATTTGTCAGTAATTTGGTAATCATGCGTTGTATGTTTACTATGTTACGACTATCCTCCGTGAATATACAATGCCTTCCGCATTGTCGGCGGATGCATATTGTTTACAGTGAATTATCTTTTATATATTCCATGTTATTAAGTGTTTTATATGCTTTTGCGAATATTATAAACTGATTTGAGAAATACATTACAATTAAATGAATAACTACGCTCTCCTGAAATTTAGAATCTATAAAATTATCCATGGCAACAAATAATGTCAGAATTGAAAACACCATAGGGTGCATTGAATCAAATAAGCGCCCGTCTCCGGTTAAAGTTTCAATAGAGTGTCGTTAATTATGTATATTAAGAACTTCCCGTTATTTAGCAGAAAACAAACATCGCGCGACTTTATAATTCGTATAAAAAAATAAAAATTAAGTAGAATTTAATACAAAAAAAAATCGAGATGAAAATTATTTTCACTTCAGTTACAATTTTTTTAAGGAGGAAACTACAAAATGTCCATATTGTTCAATGTTAAATGAATTTTTATACACATATTAAAGGTAAAAAAATATTTTATTAAACTACTTAATTGGTGCATTTAGCTTGAACGCTATCGCGTAAAAACCGGGAGAAAAAGAGCAACATTTTTCCTATTTCGTTATAATTTTTCTTCTGTTTGATACGTGAGCGATAAGAATCAAAAAAAAATTCCGAGCCAAGTATGCATGCATCTAAATCGATCTATACATTGTGGATACGCAGGATATGTCGAAGGTCGCGAACACACGTAATCTCGCGCTGCGCGCTTCCGTCAAGAGTCGGAAAATTAGATGGGGTTTAGGCCGGCGAGTTTGAACGGCGGAGAGCCTCAATTAGCAAACGAAGGATATGGCATTAACCCTCTATTAAGCACGCCCACATCCCGTTGTTGTGGCGTTATAAAAACCGCGGGTAACCGTCGCGGATCGTACATTCCGTCGTAGAAGTGACATCTCTCGAGGCGAGTAAACACACAACAAACGATGCACGTGTCGGTGATCCTCGGCATGGTGTTCCTACAGGCGATTTACGTGTCCGCCGGGGTAAGCTTCTTTTCTGGCTTACTTTCGATATCTCGCGGAATAAATTCCAATACGGATCAGCATTATAATAATAATCGATATAGTGATCCATTATACTATCGCACGTGCACGTGTGTGCGCGCGCGCGCGCTGTTTATCGAATGGTGCTAAAGTCCGAGACGCAAGAATATCTGCCGCGATGCTCTCGTAATAAATTTTGATTCTGCTTAGCCACCTGACTGGATCCCCCCGGAAATGTTGGAGATGGTTCAAGCCGACAAGGAACGGTGCATGGCCGAACACGGGACGTCTCAAGGTGAGTCTCGCGACTAAATGGCGTAATCAACATTCGGCCGATAATCCCGCGCTCAGACGCTGGCAAGTTTATTCTTCTATTCTATAGCTCTAACGTTTTATTATGCGAAAAGAGAGATTATTTTTTTTAAATTATCTTTGTACCTGGAGAAAATTTTCCAGTACAAATTAAAATAAAAAATACATTTTCCCTTGCAATGTTTTTATCGTAAGGCTGGAAGTTAATATTTAAATTTATTATTATCAAAATTGCAAATTTAACGCAATTATGCACTTGTTTGTGCATCATTGGAATAATTAAAGTAGTCTGTGATAAAATATAAAATGGATATAATATTACTGAATTACTGAAAAAATTATGGATTCCATGATTACAAAATTTATACCTGCATATATTATTATTATATATTTAATTTTTACTGTAATATTTTCTCCGTATATCGCGCATTTATAATAAACATTTCAATTTCACAATGCAGCGCTTATCGACGAGGTTAACGATGGAAAACTTTCGGAAGATCGCAGTATAACGTGCTACATGCATTGCCTGCTCGACTCATTCAGTTTGGTAATTTCTTCAAGTATTATCGCGTTTATTATACGTATACGGCGAAATAAACACTCATCGAAACTTTAATAGGTCGACGAGGAGGGTGACTTGGAAACCGAGATGCTGCTAAGTGTCATTCCTGAGGAATTTCAAGAAATAGGTAACAAGATTTTGACTAAATGCGCCAAGCAAGGTAAGTCAAAAACGCTTTTTATCGACGATGATTATTACTTCATTGTTGGCTCGTGAATCTCTTCCCGTTCTAACTTTTAATCGGTATTTTAGACGGCGCGGATGTTTGCGATAAGATATTCAATGTAGCAAAATGTGTCCAAGGAACAGTGCCAGAGGTAAATGTGTATGCGTGTATATGCATGTGTATGTATGTGTGTGCATGCGTTTGTATGTGAATGTTTCTATTGAATAATTTAGCAAGATTAATTTCGCTCTCTAAGTTGGGGCGATTATTCAATATCGTAAAATATTGTTTGATTTCTTTTTTATTAATACGCTTAAATGTATCGTTGCAGCTTTGGTTCATGGTTTAATTCAACGCAGAAAGAATATTGCCTCACAATCGTGTGCGACGCGTATGATGTTACAACACAAAACAACTCCCTCTTGGAGAAAAACGAGGGCCAAAGAAGTAGTATAGGGATGATCTAAATTATGTAAATTAAAAAAAAAATAGTCATTTGTATTATTATACAAATACTTACTATTATTATCATAGTAAGTAATCACGGTAGTAAACACACATGCGGCCTAAATAAAATTAAAATGGAAAATATTGTAAAATATTGGATAAATTTATAAATATGCATTGAAACAGATCCGAGCATAATAACGAATTGAAGAGAGGGTCATGAGATATCGATGCGTAATAATGAGCTATTTATGAGTCCATGTTTAATTAAATAATTTTTTATGATTTTATGCGCCTTTGATTCCAATACCATTTAACTTTTTCAACTCGCTCACAAAATTGTATTGCGTAGGAAATGAGGTGGTATCAATTAATTAAGCAAGATTCGCGTTGTGAAGAATAAATAATAGTTGTAAGAGAGAAGAGATTTATTTAAAAAAAACAAAAACTCAAGTAACGTCAAAAACCGGATACCAGATAAGATTTATTAATTCGTGAAACTTCGAAAAAAATTGAAAAGTTTAATATATATGTGTGTGAAAGAGAGAGGAATAAAAGAGGTAAATTTATAATTTGAAAGAAATCCGTTTATAAAAACGACTTCGTACTTAAAATTGGCGAATTATAAGTTTACCTTAAGAAAAATCCACATGATCAAATAAAACTTAATTCGGCTCGACAATGTGAATCCAACTTTAGATTTGAATCCGATGTCAATTACATGCGAGATAAGAATGTCTCAGTTGACCCGAATGCCATAATTTCGGCAATCTTATACATCATGCAACAATCTACCTACGCTAATGATTACTTGTTTACGCACAAAGCAGTATATATAACTACGGTCTTCAATATCAACAAATCATAGATATTACACATTTTGTGATTTCATGCCACGGCTATCAGTATATCATACTGAAAAAATATTACGTAATATCTTCATTGGCTCTCTGTTTAAGATGGCATCGTATAATTTTCTCAGTTCATGCGAACACGAGAAAACTTCATTCGGCAAATTTAATTATTGCTCCGAACATTGCATAAAATTACACATTTTGCTACTTTGAAATAATAGAGTCAACAATAAAATTTAAATTTTCCCAGACACATATTACGCACGGACAATACAATACGTGCAATATTTTTATAAAACAGCGTAATATAAATTTTTAATTAGTTTGCTAATAAATTCATTATAAGTTATCGGGACTGTTTAAAATTTAACCGTCAATTTACATTCATTAAAACTTTTCGAAATGTCTGATGTAGGATCGTCGCGATTTCACTTATGTGACTTTGTTTATGTCACTAAATCCCTCGGAAAGACATTTGAAATTATGCATAAATTAAAATCACTAATGATTGAGTTCGGTCATAAAATATTCTTATAAAAATATTTTCCACATTTCAAATCTTGCATCATCATTTTTAATAAAAAAATAACTGTATAATTACCTGATAATTAAATGTATAACTATGACGTAAATGCAATATACAAAGATTCGATGGATATCTATGTATGTGATTTCAATCTTTATTAATGCTTTTTAGTGCAACATCGGAAATAACATTTACATTAGAAATGTACGCATTATTCATACCATTCATCAACTTTTATTACATTTCGTTCGCTATTCTGATCAGTGCGGGTCTTAATTTAATTATTGCTTAAAATAACCGACTACAGCTATGTGATATCTAATGTGATCGAAATTATCTTTAATTCGTGCTATTATGTATATACGTGCCATGCAATTGCATTACTGTGCAAAGACATTGCAGAGACATTGGAGAAAAAAGAAAATTAAAGAGATTGCTACGAAAAGAAAATTGCCACGATCGGCATCAGTCTCGCGATCCAGAGTTCCTACTCGCAAAATACGAAATAGATTTTGCAATCACACTGGAACTGGGCGCGAGATAAAGCAAGAAAAATGCCTGCGATGCAGGACGATCCTTGAAAATACAGAGAAAAAAGTCTTTCGCGTAAGGGAAGCTTTCGCTTTGGAAAAGCGTCAAAATGATGCGGCAGGAAATTGTTTCGTCCCGCAACACAAAGTTATTACTTTGAAATAATATATATACTATACCGAGTTTTCGCAGAATAACAGAGATCAATTTTATTATTCGAGAAAATTTTTCTAGAGCTAATCAAAAATCATTGATTGAAATGAGTCGGAATAAACTGACATTAAAACTTGACTTTGTAGTCTTTTTACATACGTCAATTGAAAAATTTTTGCAATTTACAAACTTTCGCAATTTAATTTGGCATTTATGTCACTCCAAGTACCATATAAAAGATTCAATCGGCACAAAAAAGTCTTGATCGCGCATCTCTTCAATGATCTAAAATGGAAATAAATCTGTAAGACGGATATGAGACTGAAGAGCGGATCGGACGAATTTTTCTCCGTGAGGCGCGGGAAACGCGAGAAGGCGGGGTAACAGAACGGAACGTTCGGGGGACAATAAAGCCGAACAACAACAACAACAACAAGGCGCAGCTTGGAGGATCAAGCGGTACAGACCTTGAGGTCGATCGAATGGATCGCGCCGGTGTGCGGCGAGGAGTGCTCTTTCGCGTCGTTGCCGCAATTGACATTGTTGTTAACGTTCGGCAGCGAGCCGCCCGCCCTGAACTGATTGCCCAGGTTAATGTGCAGATGTTTGCCGCTCGACTGCGGTGGGCTGGCGCCGGCACTCTTGACGGACAGAGGGGTCTCCGGAACGCCGGATCCCGTGGGACTAGCACCCACCGAGCTGCTCGCCGAGGCCACCTGTGCAGGTCCGTCATTGACAACCATTGACAGCCGTCTCGTAAACGATCCCCTTAATATTTACGGATCTCCCTTCGCGAGTCAATCGATCCCTCTCTTTCTACGAATGTGATTTCGCGGAGCCGGAAAGATCGAGGATTCGTTGCCTGACATATCGCGTCAATTTTCGGAAAAGTAATCTTGTTTCGCGAAAAGTTCCGGCCAAAGTTTTCGTCGGATGTTATTAACGTCGCGATTCGTGCGTTGCGAGTTTCAACTTTGCTTAGACTTCTCCCGATACCTCGAGATCCTCGCGCAGTTTTACGTTTTCGCGGCGTAGATCGGATAGATTCCTACGCTTCGATAAACAGGTTCTTATCTACGTAGCGAAATCCATTCTCCGATCGCCAATTCCAAAAGTACTCTAGTCGGCGCTCTCCGAGCGAGCAATTCGGAAACGCGCGAAACTTGGCTTGTAAACAGAGATTGCGAAATCTGACGAAATTTTTTGCATCGCACACCCAGTACATAAACTGACAGATGAGACACGACAGATGCTGGTTTAAGTAAAAAAATATAACAGTTTCGATGGAAACGTGTAACGATCGAAAATCTAGAGTTAAATTTACACGTTTCCGTTCTAAATTCTAATTGAATTTCGACATTCACGGCGTGTCCAAATATTGGAAAATTTTTACGTGCAAAATCCAATTTGGTCTCTCGTTCATTCGGGCAGATTTGTGCACAAGAACACTCGGAGATCTCGTATCAAATAATCCCGATGCGCCATGTTTTTATCTTTTTGGCGCGATTGGAGAACGCTCCCCGGTGCCCCATTTTAACCGCGCGCTCGGAGGCGCACTCGAGGACGCTAAATGCATCGACCCAACCTCGCCGACGCTCTCATTGAAAATACTTGGAGGGCCGCCGGCGCTAGCAAGAGAAAGAGAGCGGAATGTTTACACGCGCATCGAAACGTATCGAACGCACTTTAATCGAACGTCATATTGTTTCGAAAAACATGTGTAGTTTCTGTTTTTTTTTTTTTTTTTTTTCGAACCCGGGAGAAGGGCTCCCGGGGAATGGCAGAAAAATAGAAAAAAAAATGCAAAGCGATCGAAAGAAAACAATGAAAAAAATAAATTCGGACACAATTCTTTCTCTCTCTTTCTCTCTCTCTCTCTCATTCGCCGAGTAGAATGTAGCACGAACGATCGATTGTTCGCGCATGTTAAAACGTATGAATTTCAAGCGGCACATTGATTAGCGCGCGGGATATCGGACGATAATTGATTCGTCGCGTTTAATCGCGCACTCCGCGACCTACCCGTCGCAGGTGCGCGACGTCGAATTCGTCGCGTGCGTCGCGCGACAAAATTCGCGCGACGTACACGCATACATATACGTATATATCCGAGCGCGTATATGCATCGCTCGCGATGCACACGCATGCCGATACGCGGCCGCGCGCGCGATGCACTTGCGGCGCATATATAGCACGCACGCACACGCACACGCACACGCACACATACGCGATGGAGACACGCGCGCGACTCGACTCGCTCGCTCGACCCGGCTCACACACGCACACGCTCGCATGTATACGCGCGGAAAGAGAAAAGAGCGACAACGCGTAGTAAACGAGAAAAGAGATGGAACACGGATACACGGCGTACGGCGTAGATAGGGGAGGAGGGGGCTGCAAGGGGGGCGGAAAGGGGGACAGGAGGGGGGAAGACACACTCGTTGTTTACGTTCTAACATCTGAGCCGAGGGAGGTGCACGGACGGGTCACGGCATCGACCCTTTCGCGCGCGCCAAAAGACCTACTGGTGTTTCCTTACTCTGCTCGTGACGTCCGAAACCTCCTTCATGATCGCCTCGAACGCCGCCGAGTCCTGCGCCTCCTTCTGGTTCAGCAGCGCGATCTTTTCACTGAATTTCCGTGGGTTCGCCATGATGGCTCGCGGCACTAGTTTTTCGCGGACACTCGCGGAACCCGGAGCACCCACCACCACCGCCACCACCGCCGCCACCACACCACCACCACCACCGACCGACCGACCAACCACCACCACCACTACCACGCTACCCACTAAGCAACAGCACCCGATCGCTACCCTCGTCGGCGCTTCGTTCTCTCTTACACAGTTTCCCTTTTTTTTTTATTCTCACTCGGTCGTCCTACCGCGACGATTCCACTCGCGGAATCTCGCACGGACGATAATTCGCGACACGCGTAAACCGCTGCGTGCGTCTTCTCGATGGCACTGGTTAACACTGATACGCAAGATCATGCGGCGCAGCGCGCCACGCGCATCGCGCAGGCGCGGGCGACTTTGCGAGCCGATTGGTCGCGATTGTATCCAACGATGCGGCCGCATCCGCAAAGGGAAAAGCCCTAGTAAATTTCTTTGCACCGTGATTGCGGGTATAGTGAGAATTTAGTTATCTTTAGCGTGAAATTGGCCAATCGAGTGTTTGATAAAGATGCGATACTAGATGCGTGATTTGTTGATTTTTTCTGCGCATATGCTTCTACGCAAGTTTCGAAATTCTTGTCATTTTATTCTATTTACCGATGCACGTGACTTCCATATATATATATATATATATATATATATATATATATATATATATATATACATATATACGGTAGTCTCTTTTTACGCATCTCTTAAAACAATACATACGTAGGGTATATATTATGGGTACGTTCCATTTGAACGCTCACGCTTATAAGCGCTATTTTCAACCGTTCCATTTGTTGCTTAAGCGCTTAAAATTGCAAACAAAAAGTCGTTCTTTTTGGATGCGTGAGCAGTGTGAGTAGTACGAATGTTTAAAAATTGACGAAAAAGAAATTGTCATTTTATGCTCATTAATTACAATATTTTTTGAAATATTGTTTGAAGATGAAGATTCTCCAAGCAATACAGAATTATTAGAAAATATTTTTATAATTCTTAATAAACATCGCATTAAAAATCCTATATTACGATTAAAGGGTTAAGTAGAAAATATTTTACCATCATATACTGATATACAGTTTAAATCACATTTCAGGTAATTATAATATTTTATTATTATTATTATATTATTATTATAAATTATTATTTTATTTGTTTGTTACTTACTATTTTTATTTATTATATAATTTTTTATGCAGTTTAACATATTTCAAGTAAGAGTAATATTTTTTTTTATTTAATAAATTATAGTATATGTATGTACCCAGATAGCAAAATCGGATAGAGCACGTTTTGCAATTTATGTGCTGCATACTATGTCAGCAGAATGCTATCAATATTCTAGCAAAATATGCCGTTTCAGTTAATGTTGTCAGAAACACAGCAAAAGTTGAGCATAACGTGCGTTACGATGTAATGATAGAAATGCAGCAGAAATAAAGCAGAGTTTTACCAGCATAAATAGAACAATTCAATGCTGGAATAATGTGTCGGCAGAATGCATACTGAGAGTACGCATAATCTGTTGTCACAGTGTAATAGCAAAATCTCATCAGAAATATCAAACTTGTGCAAGCACGCTATGACAGCAGAAACACAGCAACAATGGAGCATGCTCTGCCGTCATACGATGACATTTAATTTTTAAAATACAGGATCTGTGCGACGCAATTTGACAACAGATTGTCGGCAGAAATCGAGCAGGATCTGCGCACAATCTCTGATAGCAGATTGATGGCAGAAACGGAACAGGGTTTGCATGATTCGATAGTTCCTTCACTTACCGCTACGTGAGCTGTTCTTTCTCGTAATTGAATTTTTGTCAGAAATATATATAAAATCGCGAATATGAATAAAAGAAAAATTGAATTAGTTTTTCACTATATGAGATATAACTATGATATAACATATTACATATATGTCATTTTCTAAAAAAATTCTAATTAACTTGCTGATAATATTGTTATTTAGCATCTGTAATAATTCATTTTGTTGCATTTATATAACATTAATAAAAGTAAGCGCAAATCTTGTTGAAGTTTCTGCTGTTAATGCGCAGATTCTGCTCGGTTTCTGCTGACAATCTAACATCAAATTGCACGCGTAGATCCTGCTCGATTTCTGCTGTTATATCATGACGACACACTGTGCTTCATTTCTGCTGCATTTCTGCCATCACATCATATTGACACATCGTGTTGGGAAAAAAGAAACTTAAGGAGGACACAGCTGAGCGATATCTGCTGCAAATTCATGATTGAATCTGCTGTTATACTGCTGGCATACTGCTAGCATTTTGCTATCTGGGTATAATAAATATATTTATTAAATATATTTATATAAAACAATTGTTTCCTAAAGCTAATTTTGTTTAAATTTTTAATTATGTTAGAATAAAGCGGACAACATTTAATTATATTTTAAATATTATAAAACCTTCATTATTAAGATATAAGAGTGGACGCAAAACATTATCACCAGAAAAACAATTTCTTATTGCTATATGGAAAATGGCTACACCAGATTCATATCGGTATGAGATATCAAATTTTTCTTTCATTTCTAATTATACTGCTTTTTTTAATTATACTTATTTGATAGTTTATTTATTTATAGATCTATTTATGAGAAATTTAATGTCGGAAGAGCTAGTGCATTAAGAGCTGTGAGGAGAGTATCAAGAGCAATTGCCAAATTATCTTCTGTATATATTAAATGGCCAGAAGGCAATAAAGCAGAAGAAATTATCAGAGGCTTCACTGTAGCTAGTGCTTTTCCTGGGATAATTGGATCAATTGATGGCACGCACATTAATATAAGAGCGCCACATACCTATCCCGAATCTTATATTAATAGAAAAGGGCATCATAGTATACAATTACAAGTAATTTAAATTGTAATATAGTTATCAGGCTCGTGAGTTATCATTATATAATAATTTTTTAAATTATTTATAGACCATTTGTGACCATGAACGACGGTTTATCCACTGTCTTGCTGGACACGTTGGTTCTGTCCATGATCAACGTGTATTTCGTTTATCTGAAGTTTATAATTATTTAGAAGATGTAGAAAAATTTCCCAACAACAGCCATTTAGTAGGCGATTCAGCTTACTCTCTTCACGAACACTTAATGACACCATATCGGGATAATGGGCATCTAACAAACAAACAAAAGAACTACAACTTTTGTCATTCATCTGCTCGAATTGTTATTGAACGTGCTTTTGGTTTACTAAAAGGAAGATTTAGAAGCTTACTAACAGTACTCGATATGGAACGTGTGGACTTGATTCCTGAATTTATTATTGCATGTTGTGTTTTTGCATAATATCTGTTTATTGCATCATGACGATTTTCCTATAGAAACAGACTTAATAGAAAACGATGACATATTAATAAGAAACCTACAAAGAGAGAGAGGAAATACAAGTAACACAAAACGTGATGCAATTTGTGATAATTTACTTATACGAAATGCATAAAAACACTACAATAATACAAAAATTTTTCTTTTAAATAATTATCACATGTTCATAATGTATTAGTTTTTTTATAAGGTATTTTTAGTGTTTTTTTTTTTTTTTATAATATAGTATTATAATATAGTGTCTAAAATAGAAACGTAGTATTCTATGATTACTTTTTGTATGCATGTTACATTTATTTATTGTATCACATTATTACTAGTATGCTAATATCACATTTATGCAAAAAAAGTAATAATAGAATATTACGTTATGTTCTATTATTATTTCTTGTACTCTTATCGCACGTATTATTACAAGTACACTGCACGACAACGATTTATTTCGCGAAAAAATAATATTTCTCTATATTCTCCTTGCCTCGCGAAACAAATTGTTAAACTAACAAAACAAATAATAAACTAAATAATAAAATAAACTTGTTTATAAGTCTTTAAACTTTGTAACTCTGTAACTTTAAGTCTTTGGTATAGTTATAAGTAATCTTTAAGTATAGTTATATTAATTAAAGTAACTTTAAATCTTTTATTAAATAAAGTTATTTCTTACATAAAGCTGCTAACTTACTGTATATAGGCTTTTCATTTTCTGAACTCTCAACACTAGATAGACTACTGTTTTCTGCTTCAGTTCTTTTTCCTGCGTCGGTATGACACAGTCGTTAGAGGTGACATATACGGTTTTGAATGGAGTAAGTTATCCATATGCTGAAAAAAGTTATTATTATTAAAATAATTAAATTTTTTTTACTTAATCATATTATCGATTAACTTAATAATAATAAAAAGATCATTGAAAAAATTGTAGTCGACCAAACTAGCCAAAAAATTGAGTTTATTAATACGACGTTTCGACCATATGGTTGTGGTTCTTATCAAGTGTACACGATGTAATAATAATCAGAAGGCAAGCATCACTGGCAAACAAATAAAACAACGCACTCACGTAATATAGGTAATATAAAAAGAAACGTTATTTAACTAAATTCAAATTAGAGAGAAGCTGATGCGTCCGTGTGAGACTTCGTAAAGAAACTATCAATTATCTACAATTTTTTAATAATAATAACTAACAGAAAAATAGAAAAAGAAAAGTCTACATAACTTCATTCCACTTTATTATGGGTGCTTTCCAGCAAGCAACACAGGCGACACCGTGTTGCTACAGTGTCGACACAGGTGCTTTCCAACAGAGAGAAGCCTGAGAGGGGTCATGCTGCCCTTTTTCAGGGAACGCTTTTTCCCCGCCATAAAGTGGCGCTAACTGGATCCATTTTACGGCCGGCGGTACTACGTGGCCGGATCCACTTTTCGCTGCCACGGTAAAACGACCGATTGGTTCATGTCCGTGCTAGATCCATAATTGTGGATCTCAAAAGTACGAAACATATCATACATTTTTTAATTTTTATTACATATTATTAACAGCGCGTGATCTTTTTTCACTTTAGCATATATTATAAAGTAATATATATGTATATGCGTGTATAATATATATAAAATTAAAATGCTTATTTCACATAAAATTTAATGTTTTAATAATTTCAATAAAAGTATTTTAATAAAATATATATGTGTATGTTACTCCAATAATAAATATTACCAAAATGAAAAAAAGATCATACACAATAATGTTTCGTACTTTATTTTGAGATTCACAATAATTAATGAATCTAGCACGAACATACGGTCGTTTTATACACTTATATATATGTATATGTATATGTACATGTATATGTATATATATATATATATATATATATATATATATATACATATAGTGTACGCGGGAGTATGTGAAGCGAGAAGGTAATAAGAGGGAGCGAAATGGCAATAAGAGTGAGCGAGATAGGAATTGAACAAGCAACGAAGACTCGAAAACCGAGTCTTTCTTGCAGTCTGGCATACTATTTCTCTCTCGCTCGCTTCTGTTATTGTTTCACTCGCTCTTACGTACTCATATACTGTCATATTCATCTCGTTATCAAGCCTGCCGCTGGCAAGCGACCGATGACAAATTGTGAGAAATAAATAAATTAATAATTTTAAGATATATTTTGTAAGGGTATGCGAGTAATTGTAATGGAACAATGAAAATTTTGCGACAATGACGACAAATTTTAAAACAACATCAAACGCGGTATCAATCGGATAAATGTAGTTAAATATATATAATCAAAATTTTTATTGTCAGACCAATTAAAAATTATTCGATTTATGTCGTGTTTGGTATCATTTTAATCGCAAGAATCTCAATAATTCATTAAAATTACTTTCATACCGATAAAATGAAAAAATAGGGGTTTCAGTTTTTATTTAATGAGATGTTTACATTCGCGAGGAAGCCGAGTCCGCTTATCTTTACGACGTGTCAAGTGCGAGAGCGACAGCGAAACCGCGAGTCGAGAGCGAGCGAGATGACCTATCATCAAAGAATTCCGAAGTCTCTTACAATCGGCTTCTTCACTTCCTCTATCCATTCGCAATTTACGAGATTATAAACTAAAAACTGAAACTCCTATTTTTTTATTTTATTGATATGAAAGTAATTTTAATGAATTATTGAGACTTTTGCGATTAAAATGATATCAAACACGACGTAAATCGGATAATTTTTAATTGTTCTGATAATAAAAATTTTGATTATATATATTTAACTACATTTATCCGATTGATACCGTATTTGATATCATTTTAATCGCAAAAATCTCAATAATTCATTAAAATTACTTTCATATCGATAAAATAAAAAATAGGAGTTTCAGTTTTTAGTTTATAATCTCATAAATTGCAAATGGATAGAGGAAGTGAAGAAGCCGATTGTAAGAGACTTCGGAATTCTTTGATGATAGGTCATCTCGCTCGCTCTCGACTCGCGGTTTCGCTGTCGCTCTCGCACTTGACAGGTCGTAAAGATAAGCGGACTCGGCTTCCTCGCGAATGTAAACATCTCATTAAATAAAAACTGAAACCCCTATTTTTTCATTTTATCGGTATGAAAGTAATTTTAATGAATTATTGAGATTCTTGCGATTAAAATGATACCAAACACGACATAAATCGAATAATTTTTAATTGGTCTGACAATAAAAATTTTGATTATATATATTTAACTACATTTATACGATTGATACCGCGTTTGATGTTGTTTTAAAATTTGTCGTCATTGTCGCAAAATTTTCATTGTTCCATTACAATTACTCGCATACCCTTACAAAATATATCTTAAAATTATTAATTTATTTATTTCTCACAATTTGTCATCGGTCGCTTGCCAGCGGCAGGCTTGATAACGAGATGAATATGACAGTATATGAGTACGTAAGAGCGAGTGAAACAATAACAGAAGCGAGCGAGAGAGAAATAGTATGCCAGACTGCAAGAAAGACTCGGTTTTCGAGTCTTCGTTGCTTGTTCAATTCCTATCTCGCTCACTCTTATTGCCATTTCGCTCCCTCTTATTACCTTCTCGCTTCACATACTCCCGCGTACACTATATGTATATATATATATATATATATATATATATATATATATACATATACATGTACATATACATATACATATATATAAGTGTATAAAACGACCGTATGTTCGTGCTAGATTCATTAATTATTGTGAATCTCAAAATAAAGTACGAAACATTATTGTGTATGATCTTTTTTTCATTTTGGTAATATTTATTATTGGAGTAACATACACATATATATTTTATTAAAATACTTTTATTGAAATTATTAAAACATTAAATTTTATGTGAAATAAGCATTTTAATTTTATATATATTATACACGCATATACATATATATTACTTTATAATATATGCTAAAGTGAAAAAAGATCACGCGCTGTTAATAATATGTAATAAAAATTAAAAAATGTATGATATGTTTCGTACTTTTGAGATCCACAATTATGGATCTAGCACGGACATGAACCAATCGGTCGTTTTACCGTGGCAGCGAAAAGTGGATCCGGCCACGTAGTACCGCCGGCCGTAAAATGGATCCAGTTAGCGCCACTTTATGGCGGGGAAAAAGCGTTCCCTGAAAAAGGGCAGCATGACCCCTCTCAGGCTTCTCTCTGTTTCCAACTACGACACAAGTCGACACAATCGTACACAGCAAAAATGCTGTGTTCGCCTGTGTCGTCGTTTTGTAGCACCCCAGTGAGTGCCAACATAACATTTCATATTTGGTATCATTAATTTTTTTAAGAATGGTATTGCGTGATATTGCGTCCAAAAGACATCTAAAAGACGACTTAAAGACATCTAGACGTCTTTAAGACGACATAATGTTGTGTGGGAACGTTCTGAAAATTTAGACCTAGTGACAACTATTAAAAGTGACTGCCCTGCACTCTAGTGGCAAAATAAAATAGCTAAAAAGCGTTCCAGCTACAAGTCGACACTGTGTAACACTGTGTCACACAGTGTATCACTGTGTTACCATAGCTGGAAAGCACCCTATATTAATACATAATATAAATTTCGAATAATATTAATGATAAACTTACCAGTTTCTAAACGTTTGGCTTCTTCCGTTACTAATTGGTAATATAATCTGTTCGTTTTAGCTGCACTGCTACACTAGTGCAATAAGTTAGAAAGAGACAAACATACTTTCTTTCACTCTACTAATTGCACTAGTGCTAAAACGAACAGACCCATGGTATAAATTTTGTTGGTTTCACGGTGAGCACGAGTTATGACGTCACAGTGACGTCATAAATGTTTTTATAAGCGCTTATAACTTCAAAGGGAACAGCGTAAGCAATGCTTATAAGCGCTTTAAGCGTGTAAGCGTCCAAAAGGAACGCAGCCTTACGTATGTGTGTGACTGTGTGTGTATGTAAGGCTGATGGCAGAAAACTAGATGTCTGTCGCAGTCGTGGACGTAAAGTAAGACAGAGAAAAACGTATGTCGTACAAGGCCATTGTGACAATCATCTAGTTCTCTGCCAGACATCTAGTTCTCTGCCATCAGCCTAAGAAACATATATATCTTCAAATATGTATCGTGTTTTGAAAACTTTCATGAAATATTTCTATGTTTTCACCTAAATTCTTCAAAAAAGAAATCAAAATAAATAACAATACAAAATAAATAACAATACAAAATATATAATATACAATATGTCCAATTCTAGTTTTCCTCCTTTCCTTAATGCATATAATGAATAATATGTATATTCTTAATGTATATTCTATAATGAATAATATGTATATCCCCCTTTCCTCTTAATGCTTATAATGAATAATATGTATATCCTTAATGCATATAATGAATAATATGCATATAATGAATAATGCATATTGTGCAACAAGTAGCATCATTTGACAGAACCAGGAAAGTCGTACGACGCCAATGAGATTACAATTCAATTTTTTTATTTGTGCGGAAATAAAAAATAGACTACATTGTAACATTAAGAAAGAATGGCAAAAATCGACGAAAATATGTCTCTGGAACATATTCCATTAGCAATATACAACGAATTAGTTGATGAATTAAATAAGAATTCGAATTGGCAAGTGTTGGCGTGTTGTGTAGCCGAACATCTTGGTTATCAATGGTAATGAGTAAATATTTGGTAAACGATTGTGATAAATCAAATGTGTATTATTTATAGTTTTTTATACATTTATATGTAGGAATGCATGGCTTCAATCCTTAGAGCAGAATTTAAGTACGACGAAAACACCTGCGGACAATCTGTTGTTTGAATTAAATATAAAAATGTGTACAGTTGGTATATTATGCACATTACTTAGAGATAGTGAACTTGGTAGCGTTTTGTCTGTTTTACATCATCCAGGTAATAATAATTATAATATATATTTTCTTTAGTTATCTCAAAATTTATAATTTTTTACTTGCAATATAATTTTCAATGTATCATTGTTAGAACCAGCAATAATTGTCAAACATCCATCTGATGATATGGAATGTAATTCCTTAGAAATATCCTTTGGCCAACATCTTTATCTTTCTTGTAAAGCTACTGGCATACCACCTCCGAGTTATCAATGGTGTCATAATAATATCGAGCTACAGGAGCAACAGAGTCATGAACTGGATATTATTATAAATAGGTAAAAGTATTGTCAAACATAAGTATGTAAGAGTAAATTAATTATTATGTTTAATTATTTACAGCTGTGATCAAGCTGGAGAATATAATTGTAAAATTTTACAAATAACTAAAGATGAAGAGACAGTAAATTCTGTACTGCTAACAAAATCAGTTTTTGTAAATATATCTCGCATGCCTGTATTTATACAGCAACAACTACCTCCTTTCTTAGAGGTTAAAGAAGGTGAGGATTTTATAATCAAATGTATAGCGCATGGTCATCCCAAACCATGTTACCAATGGTTCAGAGATAATACAAGCCTAGAGGGAGAAACATCAAATGTTTTGCATGTAAGCACGTATAATATTAATATTAGAGAGTTCTGTTTTTCATAACAAAGAATACTATTCTAGATAAAACAATTTAGTTCCAAATATGAGGGAAAGTATTACTGTTACATAAATAATGGTGTGAATGAAGTGATTACTGAAAAAAGTTATATAATGGTAAGGATTTTATAATTATTCACTACTTTATATTATAGAGGAATCTTATATAAATATTAAATTATTATTATTATTGTGTGTCAAAACTTGCTATTAAAAAAATTATATATACATGAAATTACAAGAAATTAAAAAATATTTTAAAATTGTTAATATATATAATATTCATAGATGGATCTTCCTCGTGAAAAAGCAATTGCAAAGATAGCTTTAATCATTGCAAATGGTAATTATGAAAATCACAAATGTTTAGAGACTCCTAAAAATGATGCTGCAAAAATTGGTAATCTATTGAAAGACATAGGTTTTAAAGTAATGTGTTTTATAAATTTATCACGCGAAGAGATGAGGAATGCTATAAAAGTATTTAGTCAGGTTTTAACAGAAGGAGTCTATGGTAAGTTGTTACAAATATGTTGTAAAAAATATATATATTGTACTTATTAAAATTTAATATCAATAGGATTGTTTTACTATGCTGGGCATGGTTTCAAAATGCAGGAAAGTTACATGCTTGCTGTTGATGCACCAACACATTATTTGAGAACAAATGCAATTTGTGAGAGTGAACTATTGGCTATATTATTACAAAATGATCCTGCTCTTTTAGTAACAATATTAGACATGTGTCAAACTGTACCACCAAAGTAAGTTAAAAATTTAAAAATCAGCAAATTAATAATTAAGTACAATTAGGTATTTAAAAATATGTTATAAAAAATTCTTGTTTTCTAGAGAATATAATCCTCATATTCATAATGAAGTACCAAAAATTGAAGAATACAAGAGTAGGAAAAATCTTCGAAATTTAGTTCAAGCATACTCCACATCTAGTCATCGTCCTAGTTATGAAAGAACAAGTAGCAAATATGGATTATATGCAATCCATTTAAGCAAATATATCAGTAAAAATATTCCAATCACAAAAGTATTTGAAGAAGTAGGAAAATGTAAGATAGAAAATTTATACATTTAAGACATGTATATATACCCTATATCTCTTAATAATAATTTTGTTAATTTGTGTTTATAGCAATAGATAAACAGTTAAAGGGAACAGAGCGTAACCAAATTCCAATGTTTGCATTAACCATTACTAAACCCTTCCGTCTTACTGATGCAATATACAAAGGTAATTATAAAATTAGATAAAATTCTATGTCTTCTCTCTCTCTTAAGAAATAAGTATTTTTAATTTATTGTATATTATATTATATGATATTGTTGCAGGAAATTCATCACCTATGCTAAATAAATTGAATAAGTTAATAGCTTTTTCAAATAAATCTTTTGAAATATGCTTTAAGAGAACTGATATCACTGCCAAGTGTACAATCTCGTTATTTATGGAGCCTTATTTAAATGTAATCAAAGTTTCAGTACACAACTTGGAAGATCTAGAAGTGAATTTTTTTAACTCTGAAGATGTAACGCCGAATAATTTGTTTCAAGATAAGAATTCCAAAAATGAATGTTGGATACATAATCCACAAAAATGTCAGGTACAGTGTATATATAAATTTTATCATTTATGAAATAAATATATGAGCATTGATATTGTAAAATATTTCAGGGTTTAATTATATCTATTTCAAAAAATGGAACTCACATTGATGTAATAAGGGAGCATGTTGAAAATTATATTCCACTGATACTGAAAAGCATCAATAATAACTAACATATGTGTATAATAACTAATAAATGTGTAAAATATGATTTATATAAATTCTTATACATATATGAAAAGATTGTATAGTATACATAAGTTTATACACTTGATGTTTAATTAAAAAATATATAAGATGTAACTAGTACTTGTAATTTTTCAACACCAACTGTAATTAGCTAAATAGATTGATAGACACAAATTTTTATTTCAAACTATATATTTTGCAAATATTTCTATGACACAGTGTAATGATTTACAAAAGTTGCAATCCACGGACCCCCAATATTATTTATATACTTACGTGTGAATGTATAATTACATACTAAGTGTTTTGTTGATGTAGTGAAATCTATGAGTCCACTCATCATCATTTTATTTTTCTTCTCAGCAAGACCTTGGATGTAATGACAAATTGTTGTGATTTTAATGGAATGCTCCTCACCTGTGTGAAAGAAAATATATATTTGAGAGAAATTATATTTTTGAGAGAATCTAATATCAATTTAATAAATAGTTCCTACCAACTGTAGCATCAATATCAGATAACATATAAAACAACATGTCAGTTTCATCTACTGCAATTAATTGTCTTTGATTAGGACTAAGCGTCTCAATCTTTGCCCTTAAAATCTCTATCATATCTTCTGTTACAAGGCCTTGTAAAGAATCATAATTTTTATTTGTTAAAGCTTTAGATATTATTGCTGTTGCCTAAAAATATGCGATAATATACTTATTAATATATAAACAATAGTTCTTCACAAATCTTTTCATTTAGATTAGTTAGGAAAATCATACATATTTGGCTCCTTTAAGAAATTCAGCTATGTCAAATTCTTTATCTATATATGGAGCGATCCTAAGGGTTGATAAATAGAGAAGCTTCAATGGTGTTAAAAGAGATGGTACGTGTGCAGGAGCCTGGTCTACAAGCATAGGTAACGAGATCTCCGATTCGGTGCTGTAAATTCTACAGGAAGCAAAATTTGGGAGCGATGTAGACAGTAGATCAGATTCATTGCAATATCCTGGTGGGACCTTTGTCCTCGTTTTGTTTCTATAAGTAACACATGCAGTAAATCGTCGTAGATTGCACGGCACATTTCTCCTAATTGCCGGGATTAACATTGCAACTTGCATAAGATCGTGCAAAATTCCTCTAAATCGGACATCAAAACCGGAGCGCGAGATATTTTTCTAACCTATTTTCAATATAGTATTAATGTCACTCTTACTCGTGATAACGTCAGAGTCACTTAAATTCTATACAAAGCACCACTCTATTAATGATATTAAACGTTGTTTATATACATTATGCACAGTATTTCTCGTAAAATTATTTTATTCTTTAACAATTATCCTTAAAGACTTTTATAGTTGCCGCCAATTGAAGATGAGCTAAAAAAAGTAGTCGTTACAAGATTGTTCGTTTTAGCGACTTTTGGCATTAAGCTAATATTACACATATTACACATATTACAGAAAGTTTGTCGAATATTTCGATTAATTATAATTAATAATTAAAATTTTATCTCTAATAATTATTAAAGAACAAATTTCTGAAATCTTCATAAATATATGCCTAAATATTTGTCATTGCACGAGTCGCCGTAAATTAATATTTATATACATAAATTAATATTTATATATATAAATATTTAACGAATTAATCGAACGAATGCATTCCAATTCATCTTTTCGTTTGATATATATAAATATTTAATTCAATATTCGACTGATTGCATTCCGACTCGCTTTATTATTCGATATATATAAATATTTAATTAATTACTCGAACGATTGCATTCCGATTCATCTTTTCGTTCGATATATATAAGTATTTAATCAATTAATCGAACGATTGCATTCGGCTCGCCATTTTACTCGCCGCGTTACAGTGAATATCGCGCGAGAGAGGCAGGCAACATGCGCGGCGTCGTGCACGATTTCGACCGTCCGCGCGCAGACGAAAAACGGCCAATTTATATCTCGACTTCCGGACGCGATAGCGATTTCGTTCTTTTTGCATAAAATTCTACACCATTTCGCGGTACTACCGTTTAAATTTCATCCCGATCGCCCGAGGAGCGGCTGACTTACAGTGAATATCCGAAATCTGCTTCGTGGACTCACACTTAAGTGTAATATTTATATATATCGAATAAAAAAGCGAGTCGGAATGCAATCAGTCGAATAGTGAATTAAATATTTATATATACCAAACGAAAAGATGAATGGGAATGCATTCATTCGATTAATTCGTTAAAAATTTATATATATAAATTAATATTTATAATTCAGCAGATTGGCCGATCTTCTTTATTTAATATTTCATTAATTATTGCGACAATCCCAAAACAATACAGGTCATTCCTTCTTAATTCGAGCCAATCTACTTCTTTATTTTGTTAAAGTCGAAAATTGACGACCCTGTATAAATATTACACTTAAGTGTGAGTCCAAGAAGCAGATTTCGGATATTCACTGTAAGTCAGCCGCTCCTCGAGCGATCGGGATGAAATTTAAACGATAGTGTCGCGAAATGGTGTAGAATTTTATGCAAAAAGAACGAAATCGCTATCGCGTCCGGAAGTCGAGATATAAATTGGCCGTTTTTCGTCTGCGCGCGGACGGTCGAAATAGTGCACGACGCCGCGCATGTTGCCTGCCTCTCTCGCGCGATATTCACTGTAACGCGGCGAGCAAAATGGCAAGCCGAATGCAATCGTTCGATTAATTGATTAAATACTTATATATATCGAACGAAAAGATGAATCGGAATGCAATCGTTCGATTAATTCATTAAATATATATATCAGAGAGAAACCTGAGAGCGGCCACCTCGCTTTAACGGGTATATTGTCCTAATGCGCTCCCAGACAAAGTGGACGTCAACTACATCCATTAGAGTCGATAATAATACATGGTTCGTGTCTGAGCTATGGTTCATGTCCAAGCTATGGAGTGATCCCAAAAGTGATACTCCCTCTATGGACATTCAAAACATGGACATGAACTACAAAGTCCATGAATGTTCTCAGAGGGTAATATATAATTGCACAATTTCTGGTTTTGTTCTGTGCTATGTACACGAAATGCCGGTAGCACCAGTGCTATATAACAATTAAATACTTATGTGTGTAAATTGATAACAAATAAATTATTCAATCGCGACAGATACTGTAATATTCAAAGATGAAATAAATATTTTTCAAAATAAATTGGTAAATAATACGGCTCTATGTATTTATCAACATGATAATTAAGTAAAGAGCATTAAGAGCCCACAAAACGCGGATGGCAATGCGTAAATTATTTCGAACATTAATTGTTCGCGAAATTTTTTTTTTTTTTTTTTAAATGCGTTATTAAGAGAACATGATTTGTAAAGAGGTCATCAACGCATCTTCGACCTCCTCGCAAAATATATTCTCCTGATAATATAAAATAATAAGAAACGAATTTTCGAAAATTTTCACGCTTGCGTTATAAGGAGAACATGATTTGTAAAGAGGTCATCAACGCATCTTCGACCTCCTCGCAAAATATATTCTCCTGATAATATAAAATAATAAGAAACGAATTTTCGAAAATTTTCACGCTTGCGTTATTAGGAGAACATGATTTGTAAAGAGGTCATCAACGCATCTTCGACCTCCTCGCAAAATATATTCTCCTGATAATATAAAATAATAAGAAACGAATTTTCGAAAATTTTCACGCTTGCGTTATTAGGAGAACATGATTTGTAAAGAGGTCATCAACGCATCATCGACCTCCTCGCAAAATATATTCTCCTGATAATATCAAATAATAAGAAACGAATTTTCGAAAATTTTCACGCTTGCGTTATTAGGAGGACATGATTTGTAAAGAGGTCATCAACGCATCATCGACCTCTTCGCACAATATATTCTCCTGATAATATAAATTATAAGAAACGAATTTTCGAAAATTTTCGCGCTTGCGTTATTAGGAGAACATGATTTGTAAAGAGGTCATCAACGCATCATCGACCTTCTCGCACAATATATTCTCCTGATAATATAAAATAATAAGAAACGAATTTTCGAAAATTTTCACGCTTGCGTTATTAGGAGAACATGATTTGTAAAGAGGTCATCAACGCATCATCGACCTCTTCGCACAATATATTCTCCTGATCATATAAATTTTAAGAAACGAATTTTCGAAAATTTTCGCGCTTGCGTTATTAGGAGAACATGATTTGTAAAGAGATCATCAACGCATCATCGACCTCCTCGCAAAATATATTCTCCTGATAATATAAATTATAAGAAACAAATTTTCGAAAATTTTCACGCTTGCGTTATTAGGAGAACATGATTTGTAAAGAGGTCATCAACGCATCATCGACCTCCGCGCAAAATATATTCTCCTGATAATATAAATAATAAGAAACGAATTTTCGAAAATTTTCGCGTTTGCGTTATTAGGAGAACATGATTTGTAAAGAGGTCATCAACGCATCATCGACCTCCTCGCAAAATATATTCTCCTGATAATATAAGATAATAAGAAACGAATTTTCGAAAATTTTCACGCTTGCGTTATTAGGAGAACATGATTTGTAAAGAGGTCATCAACGCATCATCGACCTCCTCGCAAAATATATTCTCCTGATAATATAAAATAATAAGAAACGAATTTTCTAAAATTTTCGCCCTTGCGTTATTAGGAGAACATGATTTGTAAAGAGGTCATCAACGCATCATCGACCTCCTCGCACAATATATTCTCCTGATAATATAAATTATAAGAAACGAATTTTCGAAAATTTTCACGTTTGCGTTATTAGGAGAACATGATTTGTAAAGAGGTCATCAACGCATCATCGACCTCCTCGCAAAATATATTCTCCTGATAATATAAATTATAAGAAACGAATTTTCGAATATTTTCACGCTTGCGTTATTAGGAGAACATGATTTGTAAAGAGGTCATCAACGCATCATCGACCTCCTCGCAAAATATATTCTCCTGATAATATAAGATAATAAGAAACGAATTTTCGAAAATTTTCACGCTTGCGTTATTAGGAGAACATGATTTGTAAAGAGGTCATCAACGCATCATCGACCTCCTCGCAAAATATATTCTCCTGATAATATAAATTATAAGAAACGAATTTTCGAAAATTTTCACGTTTGCGTTATTAGGAGAACATGATTTGTAAAGAGGTCATCATCGCATCATCGACCTCCTCGCACAATATATTCGTTTCTTATTATTTTATATTATCAGGAGAATATATTTTGCGAGGAGGTCGATGATGCGTTGATGACCTCTTTACAAATCATGTTCTCCTAATAACGCAAGCGTGAAAATTTTCGAAAATTCGTTTCTTATAATTTATATTATCAGGAGAATATATTGTGCGAAGAGGTCGATGATGCGTTGATGACCTCTTTACAAATCATGTTCTCCTAATAACGCAAGCGTGAAAATTTTCGAAAATTCGTTTCTTATTATTTTATATTATCAGGAGAATATATTTTGCGAGGAGGTCGATGATGCGTTGATGACCTCTTTACAAATCATGTTTTCCTAATAACGCAAGCGTGAAAATTTTCGAAAATTCGTTTCTTATTATTTATATTATCAGGAGAATATATTTTGCGCGGAGGTCGATGATGCGTTGATGACCTCTTTACAAATCATGTTCTCCTAATAACGCAAGCGTGAAAATTTTCGAAAATTCGTTTCTTATAATTTATATTATCAGGAGAATATATTATGCGAGGAGGTCGATGATGCGTTGATGATCTCTTTACAAATCATGTTCTCCTAATAACGCAAGCGCCAAAATTTTCGAAAATTCGTTTCTTATAATTTATATGATCAGGAGAATATATTGTGCGAAGAGGTCGATGATGCGTTGATGACCTCTTTACAAATCATGTTCTCCTAATAACGCAAGCGTGAAAATTTTCGAAAATTCGTTTCTTATTATTTTATATTATCAGGAGAATATATTGTGCGAGAAGGTCGATGATGCGTTGATGACCTCTTTACAAATCATGTTCTTCTAATAACGCAAGCGTGAAAATTTTCGAAAATTCGTTTCTTATAATTTATATTATCAGGAGAATATATTTTGCGAGGAGGTCGATGATGCGTTGATGATCTCTTTACAAATCATGTTCTCCTAATAACGCAAGCGTGAAAATTTTCGAAAATTCGTTTCTTATTATTTTATATTATCAGGAGAATATATTTTGCGAGGAGGTCGATGATGCGTTGATGACCTCTTTACAAATCATGTTCTCCTAATAACGCAAGCGTGAAAATTTTCGAAAATTCGTTTCTCATTATTTTGTATTATCAGGAGAATATATTTTGCGAGGAGGTCGATGATGCGTTGATGACCTCTTTACAAATCATGTTCTCCTAACAACGCAAGCGTGAAAATTTTCGAAAATTCGTTTCTTATAATTTATATTATCAGGAGAATATATTGTGCGAGGAGGTCGATGATGCGTTGATGACCTCTTTACAAATCATGTTCTCCTAATAACGCAAGCGCGAAAATTTTCGAAAATTCGTTTCTTATAATTTATATGATCAGGAGAATATATTGTGCGAAGAGGTCTATGATGCGTTGATGACCTCTTTACAAATCATGTTCTCCTAATAACGCAAGCGTGAAAATTTTCGAAAATTCGTTTCTTATTGTTTTATATTATCAGGAGAATATATTGTGCGAGAAGGTCGATGATGCGTTGATGACCTCTTTACAAATCATGTTCTCCTAATAACGCAAGCGCGAAAATTTTCGAAAATTCGTTTTTTATAATTTATATGATCAGGAGAATATATTGTACGAAGAGGTCGATGATGCGTTGATGACCTCTTTACAAATCATGTTCTCCTAATAACGCAAGCGTGAAAATTTTCGAAAATTCGTTTCTTATAATTTATATTATCAGGAGAATATATTTTGCGAGGAGGTCGATGATGCGTTGATGACCTCTTTACAAATCATGTTCTCCTAACAACGCAAGCGTGAAAATTTTCGAAAATTCGTTTCTTATAATTTATATTATCAGGAGAATATATTGTGCGAGGAGGTCGATGATGCGTTGATGACCTCTTTACAAATCATGTTCTCCTAATAACGCAAGCGCGAAAATTTTCGAAAATTCGTTTCTTATAATTTATATGATCAGGAGAATATATTGTGCGAAGAGGTCTATGATGCGTTGATGACCTCTTTACAAATCATGTTCTCCTAATAACGCAAGCGTGAAAATTTTCGAAAATTCGTTTCTTATTGTTTATATTATCAGGAGAATATATTGTGCGAGAAGGTCGATGATGCGTTGATGACCTCTTTACAAATCATGTTCTCCTAATAACGCAAGCGCGAAAATTTTCGAAAATTCGTTTTTTATAATTTATATGATCAGGAGAATATATTGTACGAAGAGGTCGATGATGCGTTGATGACCTCTTTACAAATCATGTTCTCCTAATAACGCAAGCGTGAAAATTTTCGAAAATTCGTTTCTTATTATTTGATATTATCAGGAGAATATATTTTGCGAGGAGGTCGATGATGCGTTGATGACCTCTTTACAAATCATGTTCTCCTAATAACGCAAGCGTGAAAATTTTCGAAAATTCGTTTCTTATTATTTTATATTATCAGGAGAATATATTTTGCGAGGAGGTCGATGATGCGTTGATGACCTCTTTGCAAATCATGTTCTCCTAATAACGCAAGCGTGAAAATTTTCGAAAATTCGTTTCTTATTATTTTATATTATCAGGAGAATATATTTTGCGAGGAAATCGAAGATGCGTTGATGACCTCTTTACAAATCATGTTCTCCTAATAACGCAAGCGTGAAAATTTTCGAAAATTCGTTTCTTATTATTTTATATTATCAGGAGAATATATTTTGCGAGGAGGTCGAAGATGCGTTGATGACCTCTTTACAAATCATGTTCTCCTAATAACGCAAGCGTGAAAATTTTCGAAAATTCGTTTCTTATTATTTTATATTATCAGGAGAATATATTTTGCGAGGAGGTCGATGATGCGTTGATGACCTCTTTGCAAATCATGTTCTCCTAATAACGCAAGCGTGAAAATTTTCGAAAATTCGTTTCTTATTATTTTATATTATCAGGAGAATATATTTTGCGAGGAGGTCGAAGATGCGTTGATGACCTCTTTACAAATCATGTTCTCCTAATAACGCAAGCGTGAAAATTTTCGAAAATTCGTTTCTTATTATTTTATATTATCAGGAGAATATATTTTGCGAGGAGGTCGAAGATGCGTTGATGACCTCTTTACAAATCATGTTCTCCTAATAACGCATTTAAAAAAAAAAAAAAAAAAAAATTTCGCGAACAATTAATGTTCGAAATAATTTACGCATTGCCATCCGCGTTTTGTGGGCTCTTAATGCTCTTCACTTAATTATCATGTTGATAAATACATAGAGCCGTATTATTTACCAATTTATTTTGAAAAATATTTATTTCATCTTTGAATAATACAGTATCTGTCGCGATTGAATAATTTATTTGTTATCAATTTACACACATAAGTATTTAATTGTTATATAGCACTGGTGCTACCGGCATTTCGTGCACATAGCACGGAACAAAACCAGAAATTGTGCAATTTTATATTACCCTCTGAGAACATTCATGGTCTTTGTAGTTCATGTCCATGTTTTGAATGTCCATAGAGGGAGTATCACTTTTGGGATCACTCCATAGCTTGGACATGAACCATAGCTCAGACACGAACCATGTATTATTATCGACTCTAATGGATGTAGTTGACGTCCACTTTGTCATGGAGCGCATTAGGACAATATACCACGTTAAAGCGAGGTGGCCGCTCTCAGGTTTCTCTCTGTATATATATATATTCATGGACATTGGCTTTTTAGTTCATGTCGACGTTTTCAATGTCCATAGAGGGAGTATAGGTGCAATTTCATTGACGTTAAAAAGTAGCGTCAACCATTGGTTGAACAAAGAAGTAAGTAGTTGCTTCTTTGTTCAATCAATGGTTTCATTGACGCTACTTTTTAGCGACAATGAAATTGCACCTTATCGCTCCAGGGACTTAAAAGCAGGCTATGACACCTCTCAGTCTTCTCTCCGCTTTGACATAACCAAGTAGATTGGCATTTTGCAGACACTTATGTAAAGATAATACGCAAAAACGTATATACTTATACTCTGAATAAAAAAATTTTGAGAGGAATTTAAAGAAGAAGCAAATATGAGATTAACGTCTACTTTATTAAGACACGTGGGAGAATGGTCAAAGAAATATTCAAATTTACCAGACAGTTATATACAGCGGGCTATGGCACAGGTATACATAATTATCTATAATAATTGTTTAGAAAAAGATGCATGTTATTCTTATAATACATAACACTCTCTTTACATAACATTCTCTACATAACACTACTACATTTTCTACACCTCATCTTATTCTTCATGAATTTTTTAATATTATTGATAAAAACTATAATTAGGTTTATTGGAGAACACCTCGTAAGCCAAATTATTTGCCACGTACGATTGAAAAGAAAAATTTTCGTTTCTCCATATTTCGTCCATGGACTAATCAATTTCATCGTGATAATAGGCCTGGTAAGAAACACAAGTTCATTCATGTCGAGCCTATTAAAGATTGGAGTTTCTTTAGAGGTGATAGGGTATGTAAATTTACTTGGAAAGCATTAATACTTTAATAAAATAAATAATTAATAATATTATATTTATCATTGCAACTTGTGGCATTATATATATAATTGTGTTCATACTTTTCTATATAGGTAGAAATTTTAGAAGGGAAAGATAAAGGAAAACAAGGGCTCGTAAAAGAAATCTATCAAGAAAGGAATTGGATAATTGTGGAAGGACTTAATACAAAACTGAGATGTATTATGAAAGACAAAAACTATCCTGGTACATTTATACAGGAGGAACAACCATTACTAGTAACTTCACAGGTGCAATTAGTTGACCCTTCAGACATGTAAGTACAATTTATTCAAAGAATTCATTTTATATATGAAAATATGGCCAAAGTATATTATAATATTTTATAACATAATATAAATTAAATCATTGTAGGCAAGGAACTCAAATAGAATGGCGATATAAAGAAGATGGCGAAAAGGTTCGCATATCTCTGAGAACTGGTAGAATAATTCCTGTGCCTGTCGCGAGTGAAGAAACAGTAGATTATAAATCTCAGAAGTTATATAGAGAGCAACCCAAAGATACAATTAAAGCCGATGCAGAAAAAGTAACTTTTATGGTATGTAATATATATTTAAGAAATGTTGCAACAATTTAAAATATTATATATATAATTTTACTTTTTCATCTATATGAATTATCTACAAAGATATACTATAATACATAATATAAATGATATAAAATAAATATATCTTTTATATTTGTAGCCATCATTAAAGACTTTTGAAATGGATATCATGGATGAAATGGGTATTAAAGAGGACCGTATTCAGAAAAGCTCTTATTGGTATTAATCATTGTTATATACAATTTTCTGTTATTAGTTTCTCTACACAATTACAATTTTTAATAAATATATTAAGTAAATGAAAGAATCAGAATACATAGTCATTCTTTTAATATAATTAAAATATAAAATTCTTATATTACAATCTTTTTGAATGAAAAAATTGCTTTTGTGGAATATTTTATTAACATACTAATAGAAAATAAATTTTTTATATGATAATTTCAATATCGTCTTTCATAGTATCGAAAAATTGTGGTTATATCTTGTAAAGCTATATTATAATATCGTTGTTTTGCAATTTCTTATATAGAGAATATTTAAATGCAATAAGAAAAGAAAAATTCATAATATTAAACAATAAAAAGCGAACAATTCAATATTTTATATAACAAATTTACATTGGATTAAAATATGAATATTAGTGTTTCGATCAATAAACGTTTGACGCTAAATTCATGTCACACATATCACAGCACAAATTTTGACAACTGCAAATTCCTAAAAAGTTCAGCTCAGTTCTCTCTCATATTACGTTTAGATATTCCAAATACATATTTTTATTAATTCTGTTATGTTATATATGACACACTCTCTTCCCTCCTTAATTTTACGCATTTATAACTCTGATTATAAATTGAAATTAATATTAACGATTCATCAAACGTCAATTTCAACATGTTAGAAATTTGTAGCCATAAACGCGCGCATGTAAGAATATAAAAGCACAGAATAATATTTTAGGAATCGAAACCTGAGAGAAATGTAGAATTAGACCCAACATTCACAAAATATTGTTTTAATTTAATTTAATTTAATTTATTTAATGTTTAATTTATTTTAACTTAATATTTAAAGTAAAATTCTACTTATTAAATTTAACATTTAAAATAAAATTCGAAAATGTTTACCAAATTATGTATATTTTAATATTTAAATTTAAAATAAAAGGACAGAGAATATATATACATACACGCACATTTTCGCGTGTGGCGATAGATTTGGAAATAATTTTTAAATCTGCCGCGCGATGTAGAGATTCCACTTTATTAGTTCGTAGTTCATTACTGCGATCTAACGGCTAACTTCAGTTTGAAAGACAGTGTTAAACGCGTTTTTACGCGAAGTGTCGTGGAGTTTTTTTTTCGAGTGTTCTCAGGCTTCGAATTTCTCATCGAAATCGGTACATCGTAACTTCGTCCTACTATATTCTTAAGAAAGATACAACCAGGACTCGAGAATTAAGTTTGGGGAAAGAAATAAAGCGTCACGACGGATCTCTTGTTCACAAGACCGTCCGCTTCCCCTGCTTCGTCTCGGATCTTTCAAAGTCCTCGTCCGAAGTAAGTGTGTGTGTATTCGATCCTGTTATATTTTTTGTTATAATGCTACAATTAACCGCACGAAATGCTGCGCGCATTTTATATCGTTAAAAGCTAATTTCGTTGATCGATCTACACAAATGTTGCAAACAAAACGGTATTATTTTATCCGATATCTCCATATAAATCGCATCGCTATCAGTGCGTAACTTCATTAGAACCACTCGTGACTACGCTTTTTTCTTACATCGTTTTCAACGGAATTAACCATTGAAAATTACGAGAAATTACGATTCTCGAATTATACAATTTCCAGCAGCAATTAGCTATTTCTTAATATAATGCAAGTTACTAATTACATTTACTGATAGCTGCGAGAAAAAGGGCAATTAAAGATAGTTAAAATGCCTTTATAACACAAAAAATATCTATTCGTATTATACGTGATCTTATGTATATAGAGTTGAAAACACTGAAACAAACATATATCTTCTTGTATTATTATTCGGTTCTATTAAATGGCGCGTCAATTTGCGCGCCAATTTGTATTTATACGATATATATACTACCGTTTCTATTC